TGCTCACCCAGGAGAGTTACTCCTGGAGGTTGATTGGCTCGCTCTTCAAGTAAGTAATGAAATAAAGAGCAATTATTCATTTTGACCAAATATTTATTCTAAAGCCTAAAAGTTAGGTTTATTTTAAAACAAAACAAAACAAGACAAAAGACACACATTTACAGGATAATATTACATAAATAGAAATATGATAGATAATACATATGCTGTAAATAAAAATTGTAAATAATATAATAATATAATAATAAGGAATGTCAATATTACAAATTAATTTTATTTACAGCCTTTTGCAAAAATTATGAGAATTGTCTAAATATCTAAATATCATAATATCCATATCCATATATTGTCCGGAACACGTGGGTTTGCTAGAATAATTCATTGTTGACATCGAGAAAATGTTCAGAACTACGGATAAGTCTGTCGCCCAAAAAAAACCTAAACTACAAAGACAAGGGACTAAAGGCATCGTGCACTCGATATCATGCACTCGATATTATGATATTTCAACAATTCTCATAATTTTTGCAAAAGGCTGTATGACGATAAAGATTCATCTTATGYTGAAACTTTCAACTTTGATTCCATTTTTTTAAATTAATTTTTTTTTATGTTCATTAGTGACAGGCTTCAGAGTGGAAACATGGTTGATGACAGTACAATGGCAGATTTAATGGTATATATTACATATTACAAATGGATTATTTTTATTGATTGTTCTCTCGAGCTCATTGATCTAATGTAATGTTTGGCTAGCTGATTGATTTAGATGACAAAGTGTCTGTTTAACTGATTTACTAAGATGACATTCTTGTTTGTAGAAAAGTCACTGGAGTGAGAAAAAGCTGATAAATTCATTGTATGAAAGAGAAAGCACAACAAGACAAAACCAGGTATGTACTAGTTTCTCATGATCCATAATAATGAAATATCAGAGTATATTGTCACAACTATGCCTCACAGTGTTATCATATGACCTGTATTTCGGCTCTACTGTATGCGCGCTATTAAAAAACCTTCGGGAAATGGTCACGTGATGGGGGCTGTACGCCTTTTCGCGACGGGGCCTTACAAACCCGTATCTTCCTGGCTTAAAGTTCCGTGAGCTTTTTTTTACATTAAAAAACGCTGTCATATGATAAAATGCTTATTGACTGAGTTAGGTCAGGCTGTACGGGAAAACATCGAGCCAAATATTTTCCCGTACGGCCCTCCCACTCAGTCAATAATTACCATATTTAGACCATAAGGTCGAATGGACGATGAGTTGATAGTCCATGAGGCCGTACTGCTGGATTTGTAATAGCCCATAGTTTGGTGCCTTTATATTGTAGCTGGAATTAATTCTGAGAAATCTATCTACCGGTGTTCACAAACTTGAATCGTTTTTTTCAGCTGGTGATAGACTGGTTGGAGAAAAATGCTGAGGACTTCTTAGTGAATATTCTGCAGTCTGATCAAGTGGAATTTTTTTCTGAATCTGTTTGCTGGTATGTTAAGACTAGTCCTCCTCAATCGTTCCTTCACTGTTACATGCCTTTATTCAACATATTATAACCTCTACTTCCCAGACTTCCCTCCCTCCCCAAATGCCCTGCTCTCCTTCCTTTAGTTCACGACTGCCTCTGTATATGTAAGTTCCTTCACCACCTTTTCCTACTGCATTCCTTCCTATCTTCTTAATCCCTCTAATTTCCATCCTAATGTCTTTCCTTCCTTTCTCACTTTTTTTCATTTCTTTGCACTTCTCATCTGTCCTTTTTCCTCTTCTCATGCAATGCCTCGCTATTCACCTTTTCTTTCCATAGTCAATCTGTTTAATCTCACTGTTGTTATTTTGCATTCAAGGGAAAACACACTTCATGAACTCAAGGAGGGCAGRAAACGACATGGATACAGTAGACCTATAGTGACGGAAATGGTATGTCAGATGCCTGGAAAATCTAAAATACGATTCAAGTGCAGTGCTTGATAATAGTGATAATAATAATTATATACTAGCACTTATGAAATTCATTATATTGCACTTAGTAAAATAGTTATATAGCACTTATTAAAGTCTATTCTAAACTTTGTAACAAATAAGATCACACTGTAAGTAATATTTACAACATGAGCGGCCMCGTTGTATGGAATARAACACGGACMCGAATGTTGCAAATTATTTGTGAAACGTTTAGGTGTATACATTCATAATCTACTAAAAACTTYAAGATAAAATTGAATTTGGCTGAGAAAATTAGATTTGAAGTTTATGCAAATCAAGACAGTTTTGTATCAAATATTACAACACTCTTAACGCTTGTGATTTCTATTGTGTTTTCCTCATTAATTATTCATGAGTTTTACAATAATAATGAAATAATAACTAAAAAGTGAAGGATATTTTAAATATATAAATTTTGAGATTAGATTTAAAAGCAGTTATYTCGTTAGAACTTGCAATATTCCTGTATTCTTACTGTCCATTCTGTCATTATTTTCCAATTTTCAGAATATTAATTATTTGTCGTAAAATGATATGGATTTAACATTGTTATTTAGGATCCTGATGCACCATTGCGACAAAACAGACCCCTAGCTGACCTGGACATGGTAGGTACCAGYAATATTGTACACCTGACTGATAGGTGAATCAAGAGAGATGTTGTGTGCCAACCAGCCACAATACAAAAGCTGTGAATTCCAGTGATTTTTCCAGGCTAACTTAAGTTACTACATGAAAGTGATTGGTCGGAACCCGTGTGTAAGCGATGTTATAATTACCTGGCGTGTCTTAAGCGAGCAGCCTTGGCTTCCAAGCTGGATGCCAAAATGCCAGATAACTATAACAAGCCGTCAAGACTTCAGGCACCCTTCAAGCCTACATTAAGTTACATGTATTGTCATTAAGTTATTAACCATTGGAAATTCCTAAATGATATCATTAACTTCCCTTATATGTGGCATTTTGCTGAGTATTAGTTACCCTGCGAACAGAGCGTTATTTACCTTAGTAAATTATTGAGGTAATCGCAGTGTAATTACTAGTTATCAATGATTTGTAATGCATTGCAGGAAGATGAAGCAAGACTACTGAAACACATGTTTGCATTGATAAGAGCTGGAAAGCTAGAAATGGTCAGTTTACTAATAATTAGTATTGCCCTTTGTCAAAGAACTTGTCTTGTGAATCGAAGACCTCAGAAGTTCACTGACAAATCCACTCAATGCCGTGTCAATGCCGGTACAGACAAAGGAGATTGCTAACGCAAAACGACGCGAAAAAAAAAACTTTTGCACCCGAGTTCTGCTCCCTCATATCAAATTGATTAAATATGAAGGGAGKAAGTTCTAGGGGCAAATCGGTTGCGGGAGCGTGTTGCGAGTGCAAGCTTCCTTCTATGCACCAGTCTTAGTGCAAAACCATTCTTCAGTCTACCATTGATTGTGACATAAAACTACACCATCCTTTTAAAAATGTTGGGAATAACAATCCAGTTTTTTGCCTGAGTACCGAAGTAKCCCAAGAGTCATCCTTGTTTAAAGCTATTTCAAAAAAAGTTGTCAGAGCGTAACGGCGATTGCACGAACGAAAGTTATTGTTAGTATTCGGTTTTTTCACTTRTGAAAAACAGAACAAACAAATCACTAGCGAAAATCTTTAGTTGATTGCAACAACCTTATTGAGACTCTGTCATGAGTAAATATTGCCATCAATAATCCACACCTACAGTCACTTTCGGTCGTACATTCGCTCTTTCTCCCGACGATATTTGTTGAAATAGCCATATTAACACTTACCTCATAAGTGTCACAAAACCACTTCACACACCACCCTAATCAGAGTTGAGCTGAAATGGCGCCTTTGGCTTAAAATTATGCATTTGAACAACAAAACATAGTGAACTAGATAGAACTAAGTGTGCTGAATGCAATGGCACTTTCGAATTAAAAAACATTTTTTTTTGTCTGACAAAAAGCCGTTCAAACTAAAAAAATATACGATTTTTGAAAAATCATAACTCCCCCGGAATTTATTTGATTGACAAACGGGTTTCATAACCCTGTTTGGAATCACCAGTTTTATAAGTCCTGTGCATTTCATTTCATTTCCACTACTCTTCTAGGTTTTAGGTGTCTTGGTAGTACCTATAAGTAGGCCTTAATATTTTCAAACATAGGTCGATTTTTTTCGACTTTGACATGGCGTAATGTCAGCAAAAATGGCGTAATGTCAGCAAAAATGGCGTAATATCAGCAAAAATGGCGTAATGTTAGCAAAAAATGGCGTAATGTCAGCAAAAATGGCGTAATGTCAGCAAAAATGGCGTAAT